AAAATCCAGTTTTCGGCAACTTTATCGAGGATTGGTAATGGAATTATCGGAAGGACAATAACCATCAAGGTGATCATCAATTTAGCCTAATTCGCAGCAAAATGATCAGTTCTTTCACAATATCACTTTTGGCATTATTGTTTGCTCTGTGTGATCCCGTTCATAGGGGCAGTTGGCTCGATTGGTGCGTTACCCTCCCTGGGCCAAGAATATATGAAACTAATTGTATTGAGTTCCTCTCAACTAGGGTTGTAGACGAATCGAGCGGTTTGAATCAAAATCGGTTCGCAAGTTTGAGTATATAAATATATATATATATAGTAAAATTACATATATATTTTTAATATTTTATTATTTATTAAGAAAAAATAATTATTGGTTGTTTTTATTAGATTATTTTCCAAAAAACTCGAGCTAACGAGCTGCTCACGAGTAAAAAATTCGAGCTACATTACGAGCTGCTAGCAAGCCAGAAATCGAGCTACAACTCGCGCGTCTTGACGACTTGAGCTCGAGCCTGGCTTTTCCTTGATTGAGTCGAACTTGAGCTCAATTTTTTTGACTCGTTCGAACTCGAACTCAAGCCTACTTGTTATTAAATCGAGTTCGACTCGATAAGTCCAAAATTCGACTTGACTCGATTCATTTGCAGTCCTACTCTCAACACAACTGAACCTGCCAGCAACTCTACAGTGAGTATATCCACCTTAAGTAAAATTACGGAATCTGGGAGCACTTATACTATTACAACTTAAAAAAAAAATGGTTTTCCCGTTGCGTACTATAACAAACTGGCATACTTGGAAGGCGGTCATCCAAGAACCAAATTTTTGTCTTACTACAAAACTCTCCTACCATTTTGTATCATCTAGCCTAGTGACTGCTTTCGCTATAAGCCTGATCTGCGGTTGCTCCGGTAATTTTAAATTTAATATGAACACATCTGAATATGAAGTCAATGAAACGTGCTGTATACTAACAAAACAAAAATAAAAGTTTAAAAAGTTTTAGGGTCCGTCAGATGATAAGGTAATACTATAACTCAATAGCAGTTTTGTTTGGAGAGAGAGACCACGATGGTGCACAGTGCATACAAATGCGTTGCCGCTATGAATTACAAACTACCACGGCGAGTTGAATGCTGTAAATAAGTATTACCTCTTCTGATGCTCTTTCTGGACAAGCAACCCGTTGCCTTGATCAACCATGAGAAGAAAGCAGCAGCAGGAAGAGCTTGGCAACTAATCCAGGTATCTCTTATGGTAAGAAATGAAATGGAGATGAGAGAATCTTAAAGAACTAACTGCAGAGTGGTATCCCTTCTCGCTTCAAAGTGAGCATTGGCAAAATAGTTTTATAGAGAAGATTCTACATAAGATCTGCTTCTGCTAGTAGAACTTTAACTAAGCTTTCAATGCTCAGGTCATAGTACTTCCCTTTGCCGACAAGATTTTTCAAGCCACAGACCGTTGTTGTTTTCCTGATGGCTAAATTCCCAACTTATGTACCTTTTACACAAGGAAGGAACGGTAAGGGCTAAGGTTGCCCACCATTAAACTCTCTATGCAGATACTAACCAGTGGTCCTATACTGGGGGCATCTCCGCATCCAGATTTGGATCAGCTCATTCAAACTGCTTCACAACGATAATTGATAGGGAAGAAGTTCTTTCTCAACTGCCCCCACCCACTTTCTCCTGTCTCGCGAAAATGGAAGATGCTACTAACCCGTCTAAACTGGAGAGCGAATGAATTGCATAGTTCAAATGCTTAAGCCAAATAATTAGACAGTATCCTAAAATCAATTTGCGCCCCAAAAAGGTAGTCAAGCATATACATATGAAATTTCTCTCATCCGTCTACTCTGCCTCTCCACTAAATCTCAACGTCATCTGTTTACTTGAGTTTTCTGCAGCATCCAACTGACATGCAATCTTCTTATATGGCCTATGCTGCAACTTCTATTTGAATATTTCTACCCATGCCCCCCCCCCCCACCTGGATCTCTCACTCTCTCACCCCAACAAAGAAAGAATATGATGTTCGTGCCTCTCATTTCCCATTTTCCTTCAAAAAACGTTCACATGCCTAACTTAATAGCAATGATATTGACTTAACATTGATAGCATTTCTCTTTTGCTTTTAAGGGAACTGTGATGTCTAAAAATGATCAAAGTATTTTTGGTTCATCTTCTTACAAAAGGTAGCTCAATTTTGAAGTTGATACTCATTCAGATACTGAATACCAGTGCCAAGATTTCTAATTCCCTAACACTCTCTTAGTGTCCCTTTAGTGAAGAAGTCCTAGGTGGGGCTCCTGAACGAGCTAAGAGAGTGGGGTGAGTATTCCTCGGGTAAGGGTCACGAACAGGTGGGGGAAGGGGGGGGCGCATGAGGCTTAATTCCTAATCTTCCTCTTCCTCTTCTCTTGAGTTATTTACTACAACAGACACAAATATCATCGCAAAAATATAGCCAGATGACATGCAGCATTTGTTCTCAACTGAAAGGCAAGAACCAAATAAAGTGGAATGCATTTTTACAAATATAAAAGAAGCATGGGCCATTTTGGAAGAAAGTCCAAGAGTTCATTGAGAAAACTGGTGTGTGACCCCAACAAATTTGGAACACATCCCAACAACAATTACTTCCTACCATATACAGCAGCCAGCACTAGCATTTCTAGATATTCAGTGTATGCTATATACAAGGGAGATTCTTACTCAGATGCAAAGAGCTACAATCCAATTTGTACCTTAAGTATCGACGCCCTTAGATTAGCTGTAGCGATATAGCCAACAATAGTGGACCGAGTAGTTGACAAGCACTTTTGACAAACAAATTAAACTCTCTCATTATCATCCATTCTGAGTGGGGACATTTTGATTTCAGCACATTCTGATTTCAGCACAAAAACATGAAAGAGAATTTCAATGTATGCACTCAACACCCCCGCATATCACTAACCAAATCCCAAATAGCACAAGACACACCACTATGTCAATTGCAAGGACAATCCTCACTTGACGGCACCATCTTTTCCGGAAATTTAGAGAATTTGACCTGAACCTCATTGAACCAAAATCCTTCTGCAATGATACTGGAGAAACTGATGTACCCTGGTTGTTAGCGTCCAAAGCTCCCAAATCAACCCTAGCTCCTCTTTCTGTGGATTTACGGTGTTCCTCCAACTCAATATCCCTGACACCAATTACATGTTCCTTCATCTTCTTATTCTCTTGTTTGCTAGACTTGCCCAATAAAGGGGCTTTTGTCGAAGCCCCAGCTTCGGATGTGCCAGGTCCGTGGTTACTAGGTGAAGGAGAGAGCTCAGCGGCATGATAGGGAGGAGTCTCTCCTAGCTGCTGCTCAGCGGCACCGGTCCTAGAGACATTTTCCAACACAGCAATTAAATGACGAATAACTGGGACTAGTTGATCTTGTAAACAGGTTGAGTTGAGATTTGAGAGGTTCCTAGTCGAACCCTTCTTAGTTGCCTTCTTGAATTCATCCCTCAAATGTTGGAGGAACTTAAGAACCCCAATTTTAGTTAAACCCTCATCAGCAATGGCAAAATACACATAGCCGTCTTCCATGAAAAACCCAAAAGTCTTTTTAGCCATGGTTTGAAAATACCATCTGTGGTAAGAAGGGGTTCTCTCCAAGCATAATGCCGCCAAGTTGTCAATTTCAGGGTTTCCGCCATTATAAGAGTAGACAACTCGATCACCCTTTGACACGCAGCAGTATTGAACAGTGGTGTGAAGTGATCCCATTAGAACAAAATTAAACTATTTCTCAGCATTGCCCTATATACTCAAAAAGAAGAATAATGTAAGGGAGGAGGGCCAAAATCGAACTCCAGTTTAGCCCGCCACAAAGCTCAGCTTTTTGAAGTACGGAAGGATACAAAGCAGTCAAGATTTCGAGAGAGAAATAGTAGCCCACAAATTGTCAACAGGAGGTGGCACGCAAGAATACAACCGAAAACCCATTCAAGGGATCTGGATTCCCGAAACTTATATCCCTGCAACTTATAACAACCACAACCGATTAAAAAAAAAAACCCAAATTACGAAACTAGCTTAAGAAATAGTTGGGATTATCCAAACGATGATTCAACAAAACTCGATTAAAGAAAAAAGAGGTAAAAAAAAGTTCTCGAGTCTTTGAGAACACCTACCTCAGAACTAGTTTTTGGCAAAACGGCAACAGCCTCCCCGTGACCTCCTGAGAGTTGCTTGAGAGCTGAAGAGGTGATGAGAATCGCGTATGTATCTAACAAAGCCAATAATTGGATGAAAATAACAGTAGCAGGCAGAGAAGGTAGTCGGTACCCGCACGCATATCTCTCTGACTGTTTAAATCTCGGTCCCGGACCCCACTTTCAGTAGATTATCGTATCGGTTCATCATTAACCCAGCCCGGGACCAATGATGACCCCCCCCGCCCCCCAGCTCCCCAAAAAAAAATTTGCCTCTTTTACATGCGATGGATCGCCGACTGTGCAATTGCGGAATTGCACCCTGCAATATAGACATTACTAAATTAAATTACATTAAGACACTGAAATAATTTTTTAAAACAAATTTTAAAGCGAAAGTTTTCTTTTGCACGTTTGTCCCGTCTGGATTACTATTTTTTGAAATTTTATAAATATATGTATACACATATTATAGCAATTTTGACGTACGTGAAAAAAGAAATAATTGAAAAATATGTTCATGAAATACGTTAAAATTTTTTCCTTGGAGAATAGCTATCGGAACATGGATATAATATTTACGTTTAATGTTTATATTTATCTAGCCTGCCATTATCAATTTCTTAATCCATTTACTGGACCGTGACTCTGGGATGATTACGTCATAATTGTGCACCGGTACTTGCTTGCATTCTAGTCTCAACTTCTAACTACTAACTTAGAAAGGTTAATTCTGACTGGGACAAAAGCAAAAAAAAAAAAGCTCTTGACTCTGGAGTGCCAATTTCAGCCAAATATAAATCCAAGGACAAGTTCTTGTTTCTATTTTTTAAAATGGGTCAATCGAGGACTCAGACACCCCATATTTTGATTTAAACCTTGGCATGCAATTTCTCGATGGATTCAATCATAACAATAATGTCTTTCTTTTTCATTCTCTTTTTGTTGCATCCATAAGAATTCAGCCGTCCTGCCTTAGAAGAAGCTGCTGTGAAAGGGAGATAATTGCTTCAGATTTTTAAGGCTCGTAAACCAGCTATGTTGTAGGAGTAACATATAAATTACTGCTTCTTTTCATCTTCGCATTTCCGTTTCTAGGGTGGGTCTGTCAAAGTCTGTATGGACTGGAGGGATGGCTACTAGCCTCTTCATCCCTGGATCCACGCATCTGAACTGCTTCAGCAGAAACAACCCCTGTGACTTCTTCCACAATCCCACAATTCGCCTTTCTAGCGTTCACTACCACTCCTCATCATTTCTGTATCATCATCTATGTTATGCACGCCCCTTTCCTCTTCTTCACTGCGTCTGGTCAGAATTCTCTCACCAGTGTTGCAGGAATCATTCTCTTGGCCGCTGTCTTCACAGGGGCGGGAGCCATTTTCAGGAGACAATTCACCACCAACTGCAATATTAGAAGATACGTCGTGGCTTGCTAACTGCATATCAGGTGCTTCAATTGATGCTTTAGCAGACACGAGGAGGGATTGGCGGCATAGCGGACACGTAGTGTGAGTCGACAACCAGCTATCAATGCAATCCCTGTGAAATGTATGTCCACAAGCAGGTATCTGTTGAAGCCGTTCCTCTGCTTGATAATCCCCGAGGCACACCGAACATCTGTCACACAAAACAAGACAACTTTTCAACGAGTTTCGCTAGTTGGTACTGGTGCGATATGTGATGTAGTTCTCACCAACCTGAAAAGGTCGTACTGTACTTTCTAGGCATGCAGTCCTGGAGCCTTTTGTTTTTTTGGAGCATTTCGTTACACGGCTTTGGCACTACCATGATGTGCTTATCAGTCATCTTAGGACAGGTAGATCTGCCTTATCGTTACTACTTTCATTTCTCTTAAATTTTGTTCAAGCAATGAATGTACTCTACAGTACTAGTGAATTTCAACCTTCCTAGATAAAAGCAACATTCCTATATTATGTCTGCAGTGAATTTGGTGTCGTTTTGAGCACGATTGCATCCGGACATCTATGAATCAAGCGGACTGCTCGCTGCAATAAACCCAAGACAATACAACCTCTGCAAGTAATAGTATGCTCGACAGAAACGAACAACAAGAGATATTATAACTCAAAATTTGAGAATCCTGCAAAATTGTCGACTGAAGAAACTATTTACATCTCCTCCTCTTCAGGAAACAAACCTGTAGACCATCATATAGTTCTCAAGGCTAAAACTAATTTACTTTCCTTTGCTAGGTTTCGTAACTAAATTCTCTCTCCTCTCTAGTTACTAGCAACCAAAATTTTTCTTGGACTGAAAAATGATTTAGCATGGACAGTCAACACGACGCAACCACCTTAAATGTCAAATATCCAGCTTTTAAGGCCAATTCATCAGCATCATCGCGTAGAGATATTTATGATAACCGAAAATAACCTTTATCCACCAAATCCAAGGATGAGCTTAATAAACACACCTCTCAATAGTACATTACAGTCATCTTCAAAGAGTATTTCAGGGCCAACACTTTGAAAAGAGAAGTCGAATCGCAACAAAAATACGCTACTCTGTTGCTCCTGCATTACATGGGGTATAGGCATAGCAGCTCTTTAAGCCAAAGACCTATAAGTCATACATACCAAGGATGATGCCTAGACTCAGACAACTGCGGAATGACGACACTAAAAGCTCTCTGTTTAGATATTAGATGCCTGCGGAACTATGCATCACAAAACTTTTGGATGATGTTCCAAAGAAGTGGTCTGTCTACATTCTGAAGTAGTGTAATTTTAAGGCTCTACACTTTTAATCTAAAATGCTATCCAAAGCCTGATTTCCAAATCAAGAGTAGGTAAAAATTCTGTCCTCTTTTATACCTAGCAATTCGCGTGATGCTGCAGTCCTCAAATGAAACGAGCGGTCAAAGTTCCTTACTTTTTGCACAGGACAAAAGTCACATAGATAGAACTGTGAGTATTGGTGGGCAACCAACTTCATACAAGCCCACGCCCTCAATTTTGTTGAGCTTGAGATAGAAACATTATTGTAGTTGAAGCTTGCAAACTTATTAAGCTTTTGCAAGAATGTAATAAGATTAATACATGACCACTGAGCCTTATCGAACTCAATCTCTACCTATAACCATTCAGTCACCTCCTCTTACCACCATCCCAATAACAAGAACAATTACGTCGTCATAGCAGCTCACTAACCAATAGTAGCAGATTCTACTGTTGATTTTGTGTTATTAACCTTTTTTTTTTTTTTTTTTATAGAGTGGAAGACAAGCTATACATAGAGTGGTCTCAATGACTAACGGCCAGAAATTGAACGGCATCTTGTACTTTGTGTTTGTGCTAGTAATTGATAATTGGCAATTTGGTTGACGGAGGAATAAAAAAAAATTATATAAGTCCATGGAGCACTTACTGCATGTCTTTGACGGAAAAACTTTCCTTGAATACAATCACGGGCAGCATCTCCCTGACCTCCTTCTTTAGTCCCCCAGTTTCAGCCTGCAAAATTAATTGATATTCCAACGCTTACTACAATGTGTGTGTGTGTGTGTGTGAAATGAATTAATAAATCAAGCAAGCTCCAGCCCATAGGATAGGAAGAAAGAAAATAGTAGTACTAGTGAGTGGGGCAGGCAGGTAGGTAGAGATAGAGATAGAGATCTAGAGATGAACAAAATACCCTGGAGGAGGAGGAGCGGAAAGAAGAAGAAGAAGAGGCGGGCATTGTGAGAGAGGGCCAATCAAGCCTGCGACGGCGGAGACAGAACAAGTAGAACAAGGAAAGGAGGACGAAAGTGAAGAAGATTGGGACAGAAAAAATGAAAGCTTGATAGAGTCTCAACTCAGCCGAAGAAGAAGAAGAAGCATTTCCACCACCTCCGACGACAGCAGCAGCAGCAGCAGATGTAGCTGTTTCTTGTGGGTCTGAATATCTACTAATACTAGTCTTACCACCTCCACCTATGCCGCCACCTCGTCCACTGTGAGACATAATAATTACTACTATGAGCTGTATCAGCAACCAATTTCCCTGGTTCTTGGTTTGGAAATCCAACCTCTCGTTCACATATTGTCAATAGTAGAATGCTGAATTTAGTGAGTCGGTTACACCCACTGTGCCCCTATGCCCCTTCCCGGGGGACCAAATGCTTTCTGTGCTATATTAGAGAGAGAGTGTGTGTGTGTGTGTGTTTAGTTTGCAGGTAAAGCGAAGATGGGAGGAGGGGTGAGCGGTGGAGCTGATGATAGAAACAGATCTGGGTACCAACGGTTCTCTGCTGTGTTACGACACCGTACTATTTCTTAGCAGCCAACTCCTCCCTCTAGTCTGTACTGTGTGTCCGCAAAAAGTACAAAACGAATTACGCCGGCCTTTTTCTTGTTTGACTTTGTTGCACACCAGACAACCGAGTAAGGGGAGGAGGGGGTTATGACGGATGGATGGATGGATGGATAGATGGTACAAGTGCCAACTGCATCTACATGCCTGTTTTGGCTTGCATGGAGTCTCCAATTTACCTAAACAAATCAGCAAACTTATTAGCCACTTGTGTGTTTGGATTCTATTTTCTAGGATTTTTTTTTTGTAGAAAAATTACTGTAGCGATTTGATATATGTGAGGAAAAAAGATAATAGGAAAATGTGATCGCGAAAAACGACATAATTTTCCTGCAAAAAATGGCTGTCCAAACAACTAGTTTAATAAACAATTGCTATGTTAATGAGTCACAAACTTATCTGTTATGTTATGTTATGGATCAGATTATACTAAGGGGGGGAGGGGGGTTGGCTCCAGTATTCCACAACACAAAAGGTATTCAATTATTCATACCCGTCATGCAGTGAGTGTGTTTGAATAGTAAATTATTTGAGATAATTTTATGAAAAAATATTATAACATTTTTTTGATGTAATGCAAGTGAAATATAAAGGTGATTGAAAAATATGTTAATGAAACAAGTAAGTCAGTGCATGTATATAGATAAAGTAAAAATAACGTGTAATCCAAACACACTCAGTAGTGTCGGTAGTGTGTTGCTTTCTCTGGGGCTCAGCATATTTTGTTTGCTTAATTTTGCAAGTGTTTATTTCTTTTCGGAAAAAGAAAAGCAATGGAGTAATAATTTTGTTGGGCAGCTAATGCTTTGGCATGCCAATCACTTTCAAGCTTTTGTCATATGGAGTGAGTTAGTTCTACATTTCTATCATTAGCAATATTCGCTTGGAAAATGCACGTATCAGTATTGATGATGCGGAGGCGAAGCTGGAGGACAAACAACCCAAGAAGAGTCAACATAATAATAATATATAATTCTGTGGAACCAAAATCATTTTTATTTTTGTTTTTCTTTTTGGGTTTGGTATTTACTCCCCCCGCCCCTTTGAACCTTCCTTCTTAGCTAACAGTAGTAGGAGCATATTTATAAAAGCAAAAAGCCAAAAGCAAAAAGCTAGATACAGTCAACCTTATCCAAACTTCTTTGAGAAAGTTTGTTTTGTTTAAACATTAATTATTATTAATTCGCCTCTTCATCAACAGTAAACTGTGTGTGTGTGTGTGCGTTTTTTTTTTCTTGAAAAAGTAAACTGTGTGTTTACCTGCACAAATCCTTTTTTAACAAAATACATAATTTAACAGCTACAATCAGTAGTAATACTAGCGCACAAAGAGGTTAAATTCCTAGTTGTATGTACAATACCGCGACTGGAGTTGCCGATGCACCGCGACTTGCAGTCAGCAACTTTATCTTCTGCCTTGATACCGTCATACATCCCTTACCTTAAGCCTGGCTTCTGTATTGGAATGGAGAGGTAGCTTCGGGCTGGTAGGAACACCGCTGAATTTGCGCACCAAGAAGGCAAAGCATGGCAAGAACAATACATAGAGGGTCCCCAAGATGAAGGGCGCGGCCACAAGCCAGCCTAACAGCTGAAACAATCATCACCGGTACAACGATATAGAAACTGTAAGCAATGTGAGCAATGCAGCAACACAATAACAATAATATCATCAGACTCGATCACAAGTCTGAGCAAACAAATTTTCTTGGCCTTTCAGTATTCAATTTTTGCATCAGCTTTGATCGCAAAAAAAAAAAGATTAGCTAATCTAAGAGCTAAGTTTGTTTGGATAAGGTTATCGATTTGGATTGCCCAGGGCATAAGATGTCCACATAACACTGGCAATACTCCCACTAGAAACATCAATAATCCTCCTATCAGTGCGAAACCACCCCCTTTTTTGGCTCCACCAATTTCAGTCTTCAGCCTGCATACAAAGTGCGCTTGAATATTGGCCAAAAAACGACAACAATGCAAAGCACTTGATTCAGCTTTTAAAATGAATCAAGTACTTTAGCATGATGTCAAGCCAGACACTCTTTAAGAGATACCTCAAGAGAACCGAGGTCAACGTTCCTCAAAAGAGAAGGTGATGGGGAGCCCATTCAGAAAAGTCTCAAGTCTTGGGTTTATAAAATATCGACTAAACCAGCCCCCAGGTATTTGGCACTCTCAGATGAGTCAAGACCGATCAAAGATGTGATCCAAATGGAACTTTCTGGGACAGAACTATTATCTATTGCACACACCATTTGTTAAAGAGCGTGATGTTACAATGAAAAGCCTAAGCCATTGCAAATAAAAGTGCAATTTCTTTGCATAGTGTGAGACAGCAATTTCTTAGTACTTTTCTTGTTTACTCCTTGTGATTTTTCCCTTGATACATAGATCACTAACAAGGACATGGAACAAATTTAGAAAGTTCAATGATCAATCATGAGAAAAGGGCCTAGCTCAAAAGCAATTGGTTTCTTCAACTAAACTTTGAATATGTTGGAAAAGAAGAATTACATGAGGTCGTCTTACTTGATGTATCTCCAACTAGCTCAGCAGTCAAACATGTGAGAAATTCTTGCTTTGTCTAAGAAAGGTCCAGTGAAGAAATTACGTGCGCCTGATTAGGCACATGTACCACTAGACTGAAGCACCACTTCCTATCAATGATCAGAGATTAAGGCTAATAATAGGAAATGCCGGCACCTTAAATTTAGACCCCACTTTTTCACTTGGTAGAGGTCGTTGCACTTGTCAAAATTGGAGGGCTTTCAAACAGATGCCTAACGAAGGACATTAACCATATGTACTACCATCAAAATATGGGGCAAAGGAAGAGGCTAAGAAAAACTTCCACTTATTTGTATCTATTTATCAATCCATAACCCAACATACACAGATAGATAAAGCTAGGCAGATAAAATGAACAGACTACATACACAAACAACATATCCACAAGCTGACATAAAAGATGAGCTTGGAAATGCCGAGTCAGTTACCCACCGCATTGAAGATGCCCCGCAAGATTTCTCTTGAAGCTTGACCAGTCAAGACCTTCTTCAATGCATCAGAAGTTAGAGGAAAGTGAGGTCCTCCAGTGATGAATTCACCAAAGCGCAAGAAAAAAATTATCAGACTGCAAAACACAGAAAGGTGACTGTCAAGAGATCACAGAAAGTATGGTAAATGGCTAACTCTAAACTAAATGTTAGGGATCCATAATGTATTTGATGAAAAGATTCTTAACAGCACCTGCAGTACTCCATTATTTATTTCAGCTTTTAGATTAGTAAGGTCCATACGTATTAAGTCCTTATGTTGTCAACATACACAATGAATGCGTTATGCAATCCCCTGTCAAGAAGTGCTTGGAGTCTTCCAAGTCATGCTCATCTTTGCAAATTTTTGCTATGATTTTTTGATGGAGTTGAATAAAGCTTCTCTGCCATTTCTTACCATTGCCAAAATGACTCAATTATCTCCTTCCAAATGACCCTCTTAGGATTCTATAGTTTTCACAATTTCTCTAGCTTTTATTCCCATCCTTGTTCTTCTTTCCAGTCCTCTGAATCTCCTTTGCTCCTTTTTTAAAAATTATCTACAAGGGCTAATCTGCATGAAGTTACTTACTAATTGTTGCTTTCAACTTCAAAAGGGCACAACATCTCAAACTTATGAGATACATATTTGTAGGAAAAAGCAGCCATTTAGAAAAGAAACTAAAAAAGAAAGGCAAAAGTGACTGTTTTTGAAGAATGGCAAAACATAAAGATAGTAAAGATTAAGTCACTCCTGCTGAGTCGTGTTCTATTTTTGGGTCAAGCACAATTCTGCTCAAATACATGTAATTTAGATGTCTGACAGTTAAAGAAAACAGAGGTATCATCAGTGCATGCAATAGTCCCAAAAATGCATTAAACAAGACAAAGTTCAATAACATGATTCTGCCACCTAAAATGCTATTCAAGTCAATCTAGCACATTACCAGAAACTGGGCACACAGGCAATCGCAGCAAATTCATCAGAAAGGATGTGAAATTTGAATAGGAAGTTACATGGTTCAGTCCAGGAAGATTTAAAAAATGGGAAATCTAAAAAACAATAAATAAAAAATACACTGCATAATCCACAGGCCTCCTGCGAAAATACATTAAACAGGAAAGGGCAAAGGGGGCAGGGAATCTGTATATTCTTCAATCCATATAGTGCAAGGGGGTGAAATAAAAAATTACTCAAGTAGAAAAGAATAATTAAACCTCAGCTCGATTGGAGTAGCAACAAAATTAGCCAGCATTACAGTTGGCGCATGACATGAGGATCTGAGTAATGCGATAGCCAATCCACAAAGGAAAAAAGTGACTCCTGCAAAAGAAGATTAAATCCAAGAATTGAGTTGCTAACCCGAGGAATGAAAATTTACCTATTCTCTAACATAGACAACAGCAGAAGTCATGGCAGGGCACATGAAACGAATTAAAACACATGCGAATCAGTCAAAAATGCAACCAAGTTCCTCACTAAGAAGAAAGTGCTCTCGAGTATTACGAATAAACTATATTTAAAAAGAGAGCAATGCCGAAAAGGAAAGAAATGCAGAAAATCCAGTTTGAGATTATGGAATATAAAAACAGCACGTGCACAAGGTAATGTGGTCGGATTAAACCGCAGCAGCAAACAAACCATATACATTCCAGGAAGATGCAAAATTTTTCATTCACTAGCTTGCTCAACAGCGAAATTTTGAAACGTTGAAAGTTTGAGGGTCCTCCGGAGGATAATTACTTCGAGTAAAAGTGGGAAGGGAAGAAGCAAGGAACTGTGAACCAGAGAACATGCTGTGTGGTGGAGATCCTTGATGTTTTGATGGCCGCAACAATGAGATACATGATGCAGTATATAAGGACAATTAAAGGCTTCGAGTATTGATTGTAAAGGGGGATGCAGGTAATACATGATCATCCCTTGAAAAAAAATCATGTTGGAGCAGGATGAATCAAAATTAAAGTGAGCAAACAAGTAGGGTAGGAGGAGGTGAGGAAACATACCGCAGATGGGAAAGACACCAAGGGTAATGCCTAGTGCGGCGGAGAAGGCCAATTGCTTAGGCTCTGCTCCCCTAATACATAAACACCAGGTAACAGCCAATTATTACTACTCCAACCAACAGAAAAGGAAAGGAAAACACAAAACTACTACTCTAATTGATTGCAAAACGGGATTATTCTCTTTTTTTTTTTTTTTTTTGGTGCACACGCACAATCGATTCATTAGAGCAATGGATTAGTAAAAAGAAAGAAAAGCTATGCAAGGTAGGCTCTTTGAGGAAAAAAACAGATGGGAAATAGAAATGGAAAAGTGGAATTACATGCGGAGAATGTGGAGGAGAGGATCGAGTAGCTTTTTACGGAACCAAGGAAGCAATCCGATTCTGAATCGCTTGAAGATGTTGGTGCTGGTGTCGCTCACCATAATTTTTTTTTTCTTTTATGGTTTTAAAATGATTAGTAGATGTACAACTAACTAGTATTACTTCTTCTTCTTCTTCTTTTCAGTATATAATACACATAGTTAGAGAGAGAGAGAGAGAGAGAGATACAAGTGTGTGGGGGTGTAGGCTTGAGCAGGGAAGAAGAGATTACAAATCAGAAATGGCAGAGGATGAGGTTATGAATTTATATCGAGTTTGGCAGATCCCGAGGATGAATCAGAAAGCCGCATGAAATGAACAAATAAAAGTTTCTATGGAGATTTGTGGGAACAATTTGGGTGGGGAATATACATACATATATATATATATATATAGAGGATGGAGTTTCTATTATTAATGTGTCTGAAATCCCAGAAATGTTTAGGCTGCTGGGGGGGAAGAGAGAGAGAGGCAGTGCGTGTGATGTTGGAGCTAAGAAAAGCTGAGATTTTGTTGTTTGTTGTTTTTTTTTTGGGGAATCAATCAGTTTTTGAGTCGACAGAGGAGTCAGGGAGCATTCCAATTCAAGAATCAAGACCTCCACCGCAGCAACAGCAGCAACCAAACCTCCACCGCGGGCGAAACGTAGCTTGCAGGAAAGGCAAGGAAAGGAAGAGAAGAACTTAGCGGACACACAGAATCAACTAAACGACGCCGTGAGTGAGCGGCGAGCACCTCACCGATTCTAACACTGAATGGACCAACAACAATTCTTTTTCTGCAGTTGGTTAGCATTCTGTCAACATAATCACGTTTTCATCCCATCATCATTCATCATTTGTTGCTCTCCCCTCACATTCTTTCGACAAACTTCTTATCAAGAAAATGTATTATTTGTATGTCTACCCACAAGTTTCATTTGGATCACGCCACACTCAAAAATTTAAAAGTTCGTGTTCATGCGAGGAGGAGGCATCACCAGTCCCAAGTTCGCAACAACTTAGGATGGCAAACCTCCTCCTGTAACCTGCTTCAGGGAATTCACAACCTAACGTGGTTCAGCAGGTACGAAAAAAATGATTCAACAACTCCTACTAGCATTTTTGTGCAGATGACTTCCTACTTCGGTCTCTCTTTATACTCTGCATCCATGTCTGCATAATAAGAGTTACACATCTGCAACACGCAGAGTACATGCATTCAGCTATTGCGACTTTCAGGATGACAAAGAAAACCCTTCCTCGAGACACTCTGTTCTCATGTTCTGCATAACTCTCTGAAACAATGTGGGATTGCTAGTAACCACTGCATCAACGTGCTCAAATAACATTTTTTGCATGGAGATCTCATCATCCACTGTCCATGCGTAAACCTTCTTTTTCCTCCTGTTACAATAAGTAGGTATTAGTACATTCAAAGAGTCTTCCAACATTTTCACAAGGACAGGACCAGCACGCACATACAACAGAACAAGTATATCTAAGGTCACATAATTATGACTAATCCCACAAAAATCGACCTCTGCGAACTTTGAGACTAGCCGCATCCGAATCTGCAGTAAAAAAAAGAAATCAAAAGGTAAAGATGCCAACTATCCGCTGTAGCTAAACATACCCATGCAGAATTTTTACAAGCTTCTCATCAACCAAAGGGTGGTAAACGCCAACCACTTCAGCGCCCCTCATCCTCAGTAAGTTCATTCTAGTTCCAGTTGACGGGTTGATCATCACAATGTAGCCCACCTGTCAAACCACCGTATATCATGATCCCAATTTTCATCATTCAGCACAACATGTATTGTGGACTCTACGTAATTATAACCACAGCAAAACGTGCTTAGCTTTTTAGCCTTAAGAAGAAGTGCTTCAAGAGCAAAAGCGCCGAATTCTCTGTACTAGTAAGGACAATATGAGATAATCTTTTGCCTAAAAGCACCCCACTCCCAAACCACTGCATATAGATATTCTCTGAGACATCAATGGGAATTTTAGATGGGAACTAGCAAGGCAACAGCCTGGTTAGGGTTTGCAAAATTATGTGTGTTTGGCAGGAACGGGCAAGTCAGGCAACATAGAATGTCATTACACTTTCGCATGGTCATACCCAACTTCAACAGGTAACTGGAAATATCAGAATGAGGGATTAAAAGTTCATTCACAGCCAGGACAGCGAAAGGCGGTAAGCTATAGAAACAAGAAAAGGGGCCAGTAAGCATTGAAGATCAGAAAGAAGAGCAGGAAACTATTAGACTGGGTACCCTTTTGATTGGTTTGTTAGTCTCAGTAAAAATGTATGGTTGTTAGTTCCACCAATTGCACGAAAGCAGTCTCCATTAAACTTATGAAATTAAACAAAGAAAATTGAAAAAGTAAATCAGTTAAACGAGCTTATACCGTAACATCAGATGATAGCTTGATCAAGTCCCTTGCTAGAGTGTCACTTTTGGCCCATACAAGGCAACTTTTACACACTGTCTTTTCCAGCTGCAGAATGTTAACACAATTGCAGAGGAAAGATCAACAAAAGACATGTTTGCAATAAAAAACAATATATTTAAACGAAATGACATGAATGTAACGGGATGCAATCTCAAGTTTGCTGAAAGAATGGAAGAATTTGTTTCATGTTTCCAGTCCCTAGGACAGCAAAATATCTTAATTTAGCTATTTGCAGTAAACTTAGCTTTAGTCAAGACCGGTCAGTGAAAGTCTTGCTTGATGCATAAGAAACCAATTTCATAATTTCAGTAATATCTCATCATGTCGATAGTGCAAAAGGAAATAACAGCCAAAAACCATGTTGCCTGAATGCCAAAGGCAGATGGTCTTCAGACCACATACATTCATTTAATGATCTATTTCTGTTCAAACGCCGCAGAATGCCCCAACACCAACAATTCCAACTGCTTAGCAACTGCTATAACTCGCAATTTCAGCTACTATATCTAGGTAATATTACCAGCAAAAATGAACATACTCTATCAGAACTATATCAAGCATCACGAATAACATATTATGCATGTTTTGATATTAAACATACCAGAGAAATAATATCCTGTGCCAGTCCTTTTTCGTATGATGGAGGCCCAACTTTTGCATCAAGAATTACTTCTCGGACCGATCCAGATACAAACTAAAGATCATAAGAAGCCAAACTTATGAAGATATTCCAGGACTCTCCTCTGATTAGCAAGAGTCTTATGACGTCCAACTGATTGTAATGACAGTAGCCATACTAGGTAGCAAAATTTTTCCTCTTTAATAGCAGCTGAGAAAATGGAAACATTTCCTCTTCCTGAACTACTTCCCAAACTTCATAGCAGAAAAAGAAAGGGGATAGAGAGAGAGAGAGCGGCAGGAGGAGAAGCAAATTTTCATATTACCTTCAATGCATCTTCAATTGTAGGAATGGATAGATCATGAAACTTCATTGCAAGATGCTGGTTCGGAACCAGTTCTTGAATCTACAATCACAAACTAAAACATGATCTGGTTTGTATATGCAGTCGCTTGGCATCTTGACTGACAAATACAAATTGGAAAGGAAACATGCAATCTCAGAGTTGGAAAGTGAGCTTCTACATATCTATCACAAACTTCAAACATTTTGTACATGGTAAGGAATTCTGAAGAAACATGTTAGACAGAGAGAAGTTATATTCCAAACACCTCGTTATTAGAGCAAGTAATTAGTAAAAACAAGCAAACATTTGAAACCATGCTCAAACTATGTAAGCTTGCAGCAGATACAGTATGGTAATTTGAAGTTCCAAATCATCATAAATTCCAAAGATATCACAAAGGTTCAATTCCAAAGAACCCAAAAGAATGAGAATGCAAGTATGTTTTGACGATAAAAAAATACCCAGAGACTGTAAATTCTTATTGATATTAGAAAATTTTAAATTAATCAAAAAGAACATTTCACACCTCTTTGGTACTCAAGTATCCAACTCTAGATGTACTGTTCCCCAATATTCGCTGCAAATCCCTGCCTGTAATATGTGAGAATCAACTTCCCATACAGTTTTGAGTGAAAAAACTAGGATGTGGATAAATAGATGATCCCAAATAATTACCCAATCTGTTATTGTTAAATCACAGTAAAAACAACTCATGTATCCGCAAATTCTTCTGTCCATTCACATGTGACAGAAAGAATATAGCTGCTAGCATCAGTGGTAATAAATAGTTCATCTACGTTCTACCATTTTGATGCATTTTTCCAGTGAAAATAACCAATCCTTTCTGAGTTTGCAACTTGCATCTCTCTCTATCTAAGCTTCTGGTCCAAAACATCAAAGTATATAAGAAACAGATTCAACACTAATAAATCAGTAAGAAAGCTGGGGAGGGATTTTTTTAACCTTTCAAACTGCTTAAAATGAAAGACTTCTTATTTAGCAGCATGTGCCCAGTATGCTAGAACATAAGAAACCTACTATTCCGATGTTTTGATTCTCAGATTCATAAAATGAAAATGAGAATACTGTTAACAACAGTGCAAGAAGAAGTAACACATGCAAATGCACTTTGCCCTGTTAGTAAGCCAAAAAGCAATTTGAAATGCTAATAGACTTTGCCACGATATTTTTTTCTTCAATGATGATATATCTTCAACTTTTCTTAAAATTTTCAATGATAATGTCTTCAACTTTTCTTTCTTCGATAATGATATAACTTCAACTTTTCTTCAAGTACCTATTCATCATTCCGAGTGAAACCTTTTAAGTAGCTCAGAACCATGCATGTTTATTTTAATGATCATGAATTAGTTTGGGTTTTCACATTCGCCTTTGACCCCACAGAATTGTCTATCCACCTTAAAAGAAAAAAAAAAACTGTTGTAAGCAGAGCTTATCAAAATCTGGGAGAACATATCCTACACCATGAACAGAACTGTGATAGAAGTTCCTTCCAGCATCTTCTTTATTACCATGCAAATGTACTAAGTCCTGTCTCAGAGAGTTGTACCATTTCATTTCTTCATGTTATCATTCCGTAGCTTACCAAAGAAGGAAAATAAAAACTAATACCTAATGCTAAAAGATGTGCCATACAATAAATCTGCCTGAAACAGGTAACCAGAAAATCTATGAATTGAGGAAATAGCAACATAGTGATCACCAATGAATTCAAACATACATCCACCATGAAATTGAGAACAGTTTAACCATTTTCAAAGAATCAAAGCTCATAGATACCTGTCATGAAGAGCAAACAATCCCCCATCCAAAGAACGAGAGACATCAATTTCAATGCAATCGACTTGAGAACGAAGAGCAGTTTGATATGCATCCATCTAATCAAAGATAAAAATAAAGACTCAAGCTCAAAACACAAATCTCTTTTTGTCTCTTTTTTCAATTTGAAATCCATATATTTTCTCCTCTCTTGTCCTTATATGTGAAGCACACAATTCAAGACCTTCTCTGAATCTAATTCAAATAGAAAGCCAAAAATAAATAATGTACTGAATTAATTAAAAGGAGGAAAAACGCCATATCGCATTTTGGAAGTTTCTGATAAATTGAAAATGAATAATAACAAAAGGAAACATTTTTTGGAGGTGTCCTGCGACATGGTTAGGAAAAGGCACATAATGCTGGCTTCTATGGTATGGCAATTTTTACGTGCTACAGAAGAGTGCAGGTTTCCAGCAGTTTGGAGTGAGACATGATTCCGACTACAGCTACTAGGTTATACAATAAAAAACCTCCTCTTCTTCCTTCCTTATTTTTCATCCACAATGTTTGTCATTTGGATCAGCACAAGAATTCCTTTCATATTGACCAAATTAGGGGATAAAATGGAGATGGTCATATTGTCTAAACATTATATAGACACCAACTTCTTGGGACCATGGAAAAATTGTGATTAGATGGGGGTGGAGTTATGCTTACTGTATTAGGGAAGGCCTTGGAGGAGTCACCACCATGAGCACATACAAGAGGAGGATTTCTAAGCCAACGGCACCTGCGAAATTGCATCTGCATAAAGGAGGTCAACAGTAAAGACCAACAATAGTAACCATCAACATAACTGAAGTCTGATATCTAAAGACTGAAACTCAATTACTAAAGTCTTAATTTGCTGAATCCACAACGCCAAATCTGTTTGCTAACCAGCTAAATGCGAAGGCCAAATTGAAATATTTTATTTCATGTGTATTATATGGTTGAATAGTAATATTATGCTTTTAAGTCTATATTTTATCAATTTCTTTAATATGACTTTTTGAACCCAATAAACTGCTTGCAAATATAGAAAGTGTATTTTGTGTGTGTATTTGATGGAGAGATTACGTTTCAAAGTGTGCGTTACTGAAAAAAGTACATGTAGGAGAAAGAGTGTGTGTGTGAGAGAGAGAGAGAGTGTGTGTATGTGTGAAGTGCGTCCATTAAATAGAGAGAGTATTTAATATGTGTGAAAGTGTGCGGAGGCAGGAGAGAGAGTGTCGGTGTGTGATGTGACGGCCCCACCTTCCCCTAAGACGAACCAAAGGGTTTAGCGGACCGCATGCCCAACTCTCGCCGAGACTCAGTCGTTCACTACAGTCCTCAAATAGATTACAATATAAATCTCAAACTTAACGTGGACTAACTTGTATCAAGAAAATGATTTGAAAACTATATTCCTTTATAAAAATGTATAGAAAATTAATATATTGAAGAAAGATACAAAATTATGGACAAGAAAATAAAATAATGTCTAGAAAATATATAAAAATTTTCGGGTTCTCACACTCATTCTTTCGGGGCGTCACAAACTCCCCTCCTTAAAAGAATGTCGTCCTCGACATTCCATCTTGTACCAATCAAGTCAAGACATCCCGCAAGAATCACTCAAGCGTTCCAAGCAAACACTAAGAGTCAATAACACCTACTTGTCCGCCTTTCAGTCCTACAAGAATCACTGATATTTCAAATCAAACCCACAGTCCGGCATCCGAAACTTCAAGTCTAGGATACACTACAGAGATTTGAAACCTAAACTCTAATACCACCTGTGATGACCCCACCTTCCCCCAAGGCGAACCAAAGGGTTTAACAGACCGCCTGTCCAGCTCTCGCCGGGACTCAGTCGTTCACTACAGTCCTCAAATAGATTACAATATAAATCTCAAACTTAACGTGGACACCTTCCCCTAAGGCGAATCAAAGAGTTTAGCGGACCGTCTGCCCAACTCTCGTCGGGATTCAGTCGTTCACTACAGACCTCAAATAGATTACAATATAAATCTCAAACTTAACGTGGACTAACTTGTATCAAGGAAATGATTTGAAAACTATATTCCTTTATAAAAATGCATAGAAAATTAATATATTGAAGAAAGGTACAAAATTATAGACAAGAAAATAAAATAATGTCTAGAAAATATATAAAAATTTTCGGGTTCTCACACTCATTCTTTCGGGGCGTCACATGTGAGAGAGTGTGTGTGGGTCTAAGAGTGCGTGCAATAATTTTTTTGGATGAATTTATTATAGTTGTTCAACAATTCAGCCAATTAAGTGATACAACTTTCACTTAAAAATTTTGTATACAAATTAGGTGGTTCTTAATAATACACAAGCTTAATAGAAAAAAGCACTTAATACATTAATTTTAAGTAATTATATAAAACAGCCCCTAGCCAAGTCTGTCTTTTACAATCTCATCTCTTATAAAGATGATGCCATAAGAATTTACTCAACTGTCTGTTAAAAAAAAATTCACGAGTTATATTTCCAAGAGCAAATTTAGTCTGCAGATTTAGTTAATGCAAAGAAGTGGTGAAATTTTGGAATCGAAGACCAATATTAACATAGTCCTTTTGCCTTTTAGTGTTAGCTTCAATACAACACAATCAAGGACTTTAACATAATGACAAATGCTTCGCATTTGGTACTACTTTAAATCTATTATTCAAGGTGGAGAATCAACAACAGTAAGACGTATCCTTCCATAATTATTGTTGTGCCTTATGAACTCCAGTACAAAAACAACCACCACAAAAATAATAGGTAATAATAATTGTCTGATGATACCAAGAATTAGTTTTTGGAGATGCATGTGATCAGATTATGATGCTCTGCTTAGTAATTGATAGTAGTACAAAGCAACATATAGTGCTCCTAAAAACTACAGTAACTTTTTTTTTTCCCTCTTGTTTCTTTTTCGCAAAGCACCAATTTTTTCCAGATCAATTATCAATTTGATTTGCTTAATCTTCCAGAAATAAAAATGCGACTAACCGAAACATCTTGCCATTGAAAAGAGAGAGAGAGAGATAGAGTTGGTCAAAGTTTGGATCTTGAAAACAAATGCTAGTGAAAATGAAGGACGCGGTTACCTGATGGAAGCGTCGGAGCTTGAAATGGAAGAAAAGAGGCGGTAAGATGGCGATAAATGCTAGGGCAATGAGCAGCCATCGGAAGACGATGTTTCTTCTGATGGTGGAGGGGAAGGGGAGGAAGGGGGGCCATCTGCGATGAGTCCTCCGGACTCCTAGCAGCAGCTGCGGACGCTGCCTATTCCATCTTGATGAGGATGCTGAGATCGCCATAATCTACTTCTGCTACCGCACTACTGCTCACTCCTCATTATTATTACTAGTAATCGTTTCCAATATTGCACTCATATGCAAACGTGATGAGGGCCTAAATTAACAACAAAACCAAATTATATATGCTTGGGCCACACTATAACGTCTTTCTAGTCGAATTTTGCTCCAACTTTTTCTTTCCTCCCTTTTTTTTGGATTGGGGGGGTTTGGGGGAGCTGCGGCTAATTGCAAGTGAACTGCTGCTGGACAGAGTGCTACCGCATGGCCAAGGAAATTGTTTTTTATTTACCAAAAGGTCATATTGTGTTTGGATATATATTTAAAAAAAATTATTTAGAATAACACTTCCTAAGAGTTTAATATTTTTTTTGATATGATATCCTTATACTATATAAGAATGAGTTTTGATTAAAGAATGACTTTGAATTTCAACTGCAAGAGTAGGGGTATTTTGGGATTGTGAGGCGGTTTTAAATGTAGTTATAGTATTGGGTACTACTTTAGATAGCATGTGCATTATTGTATTTACTAAAATGTTCTTGTATTCTAAAAGATGCAGTAATGATTTGTTCAAAGGTGTGGGTAATTTGAGAATGTGAGATTATTTGGTCATCTTGTCTACAATTGATACAATCCATAATTGCTTCTTTATTGGTGTAATTACTTAAATATCCTTGCAGAGACATTCATTTTGGTTTGAATCAAAATTATTACTATTACTTTGCTATTATAACTTGAAGAACTTCAAACGTCATTTTCATTTCAATTAAAGCAAGGACAATGTGGTTTATTAAGGAATTTATGATTGAGCATTAGTTTCAACTTCAATTCTTCAAATGTTTGTCCCTTCACATTCTTCTGTTACGTTCCTTTCATCTTGCGGTAAATACTTATTTGAATTGTTATTGTACTTTAGATTTCAATATGGTTCTCTAATGAAGTTATTCTTGATAGTTCAACTTGAGGTGAGGTTTCATTCTTTTTTTTTAAAGGTATGATTTGCTTTGTAAAATCGTAATTTCTATTGTTAGCTAAATGCTTTCATTCCAAAATTGGATACTCTTTTAGTGCAATTTAATGTTGATATTATTGTTTCCCTACAAAGTTGGTTGTTATATACAATTTAAACGGTGTGGTTTTGTTGGAATAGGTTTCGATCAAAAAGAATGTTGGCTACTTTGATAAAAAAGCCTCCTCCATAGTTGGCTATTTTCATCAACAAGAATATTGTGTAGATGCATCTTTAAGTAGATAATCATTTTGTTTGTTTGTCATTCTCTGAATCGTTTGGGTATCTGTTTAAAGTTCATTTAGTCTTGTTAATAAAAAACTCATATACAAATGTTTGTTTCAAAATATCTGAACTGAGTAAGATAGCATGCATAATTTCCTTCTTCATTTTCCAGTATACATTAGATATTTTGTTACTTCATTTTGCTATTCAATGTGCGTGAGTTTTTTTATATTCGCTTGAACTACCGTAAAATCTTCTTTAACTATAAGCACCAAACATTCGCGCGATGCGCGGGCATTCCCCCCTAGTATGCAAAATAAAAACGTGATTAAAATTGTGTTTTTGATGCGTAGTATGCAACTTTTTTTTTGGCAAATTATGCTACTGTTAGACATAGTAGTATCTCACAGCCAAGCAAATTATTTCTTATCAAAAGGTCTTATATCTTGCTATGGCTATTGGGGCATGTAGAAGTGCATCCAAAGAGGAAAAAGCATTTAAGTGAATTGGAAAACCTTTCGGTTCAATCGATTCAACTTTGATTCAAATGTTTAATAATTTTTTATTTATTTTAGTATTAAGAATTTTGAATAATATCAAAATACTTACTTTAAAATAAGTATTTAATAAAAATTATTTGAACCTCCCGATTTTTATCGATTCAATCGATTATTGACTAGTTCAATTTATTTTTTTGAATTTTTAATTGAATCGGACCAAAGACATGACGGATTTATGATTCAATCGATCCGATCTGATTTTCAAAACATTGATGGAAACATTATTGTTACTTTGACAAAATTTGGAAATAGAATCTCAATCTATCATGCTAAATTTTGAACAAATCATCTCCGAAATAAACTATGGCAAATTGGCAATGCTCGTAGCACAATGCAAATTCATTCACACAATCCATAGCAATGTAGTACTTCACACACGTCTCGTCTCTACTCACTAATTTTCTCAATTGATTGACTTTTCTCAAGCTAAGTAATACTACTACTATAACATTTAAGTCAAGTTTAAACAAGATTTTTTTGAGCTCCATTAATTAATTCATTAGTAGACCTCGTTACTTTCCATAATTTCATAATTTGTATTAACCATATGAGTATTGACCACCTAACAAATCGGAGAATATGGTGTCAAAAATTTGAGGGGGAGGGGGGGAGGGGGGGAAATGAAAGCCAGAAACTCCTCCATCTGCCCATGCTAATGCCTAATGGTAGTGTGGGTTTTGAATCTTCTATCCCTAAATTAGTTTCTATGCTATTTGTGCATTCTTTGTATAGCTGTCACGTGTTTCTAACTTTTTAATAACCAAAACTATGTGTGTGTTTATATCAACTTATTTAGCTCTTTCTAATTTCTTTACATCTCATAATTATGTAAATGCGATGCTTTAAAATTAATTACTTAATAGTAATGGAGTGATTTACCATTTAATTATTTTTCCCTTTCTTGATTTAACTAGTCCAAATTTGCCATAAAGATATTCAAGATGTGATTTATCATAACTTATAGATATTCATAAAACTGAATCCTGAAGTGATTGAGGTTTTCGTAATACAATTAACTATTCACTATTTCCTAATACAAAAATGGACAAAAAGTTTGGGTTATCAAAAAGTTAGAGACACGTGACAGTTATACAAAGAAAGGACAGAGGGGATAGAGATTAATTTGGGGACAGAAGATTCGAAACCAGTAGGATGGTATACCAGTATAAATCTCATGTTGGCCGTTGATTTATATATTCGTTTGGATTTAGTTATTTTTGAGGGTGTTATTAAAAAATTTTATTGTAACAATGTATATGAAAATTTTTTATTATAAAAGTTTTTAAAATTTTTTATATATTTTATGGATGAGATGTTTTTTGAATTATTATATATTATTATAACATTGTATTTATTTGAAAAACTTGTTAAAAAAAATGACCAATACAAGCTGAGCATTATCTCACTAGCATGCACCAGTGTCTCACAACGGAACCAACTTGAACCAACTTCCTCTGCCCTTTTTTTCCCTCCAAATTCAGTCTCATTCTCTCTCACACAGACACAGACAACCCTTGCAGAGCTACAGAATTCCTTCTTTGTGCTTTCCTTTATTCGCTTCATAATTCCAAGAGTTCACCCATTCCTCTCTGGTAACTGTCTTACGCCCGATTAATTTCGTCTTTGATTCCAGATTGAAAAGCTTACAGATTCTTATCCATAATTAAACTTTCTATTTTTACTCCCTCCACACTTTCCTCACTTTATTTTTTTGGTTGTATGGATTCGATTGTATCAGGCATCGAAAAAATGGAGGATTATTTGCAGTATATGAGGACTCTACGCACTCAAATGACCGGTTCTCTTCCTACTGTGTTTTCTTTTTAATTAACTTTTTTTTTTTACTCTGACTTTCCTCCAGAAATTTTCAATCATTCCCAAATTTCGGACTACTGTATGAAGCTAAATCAACTTTCATTGCGATGTTGTGTTGATTGCAAATTTGGATGCGTAAATGTTACTTCTTTAGTTATCGTTACGTAATTTCTGGATTTAACAACTTCAGAGGTGGAAGATCAAGCGGCTAAGCTATCGGCACAACAGCAAATCCACCTCACTACTATTCGGAATCTCGAAAGAGACCTCGATTTTGGTAACTCTGTCTCTGTCTCTGGCCTTGTCTTCCTCTTCACTCTGTAGAAGAAGCTCATAAATTTTTGAAGAAACATATTGGATGAAATTTTTTTTTTGGCCAACTTTCAGTATTTTGTCAAGTTCGTATTGTTTGAAGTGGTACTGGTGGGCAAAATCGAATAGCTGCCACAAAATTAGGATTCGTAAATCGTACTTATGTTGCACAAGTGCTTGTATTGCAGCAAGATTTTTTTTTTTAATTGCAGTAAAAGATCTGCTCATGCTTGTTGTCTCTTTTATTAGTTATTCATAGTATTGTTACTAGAGGCTGTTCGGGACCAATGTAGTTACTTGAGTCTACATTGATTATTGATACTAAACTATAGCAGCTCAAGTTACGCTCACACTATCATTGAGGTAATGAATCCTCCTATTGGTTGGGTTGCATTGACTCTAGTTGTGTCTAACATGTATCCGTTTGAGGGTTGTAGGTGCACCATATACTTTTAGCTTCATAGGATGGGCCTCAGTGCTCATCTTCTCCAGGATGCCTCACAAGTCATGATAAACATGGCAAAACGAAAAACTGGGGAAAAAAAGAGATTTAAATGGCTACATCATTAATGAACTTTTGCTCGTAAATTTCAACTTTGGTAAAAGACATCTGAGGTCCTAGTCTGGAAAAATTAGCATCAATAAAAAGAACGTAACCAAAGACCATGGAGGGGCTAGTGAATTGAGTTCGAATGGAACTTTGTATAATGTCTAAAGTAAGATATTCAAGGTTTTCAGAAGTTACACGAACAGGCAAATCTACTGATTTACTTTTTTATTGCGTCCTTCTTTTTAATTAAATTTCTCAACTTGTTGCTAACTCTTCTGCTATAACTTCTGGGCGAAGTTCACTTTACTTTTTTCAAACTTAGATAGAATGACGGCTTCCAGTATTTTCCATTAGATTTTTTGTTTTTAAAATAGTAGAACGTGTATCCGCATCTGATGGGAGCTACGTGATTCTAATTATGCATTTTCTTTACATGCATTGCGGGTTGTGGAGATACTAGTTTCTGTTTCTGTTCCAGATTCTGATAGAAATGAAGTTGGTTCTGGATATAATTTATTCTTATATCAGTATCACAGCGAGCTTAAAATTCTGTCTATTATTTTATAATATTTTAGTTCCTGTTAATCTTGGAGATTATGTAAGGCACCACAAAAATTTTCTTTCTCAATTGACTCTTTGACTACTTACTGCAGTGAAAAATGAGACAAAGCGAGTTAAAGAGGAAAAAGATCGCATAATGAAGGAGAAGGGACTAATCTGTTCCCAGATTCTGGAAAAGCAGAGGAAAATAACTTCACTGGAACTAGATTCATCTACACTGA